AAACAACCGAGAAAAAAAAGGTCATTAGTTTTTCGCTAATCGATCGATGAATGAATGAATGAACCTAATTTGATTTTTGATTTTTGATTTTTTTTTTTGCTACTAAAAAACCAGAAACCAGCAAAAATCAATGACCGATTGTTTTTTGACCTAATTGTTGTTGTTTGTTGTTGTTTAAATAGAGATAATAAACAAACAACAACAACAACAAAATTTTTTCACAATTAATTAATTAATCAAAAGAAAAATGATGATGATGATGCTGGATTAATGATGTTTCTCTCTCTCTCTCTCTTTTTGTGAATGTTCATTATGGATCCACACACACATTGGATTTGAATTATGATGATGATAATGATGATTTATTTTTTTATTTTTTTTTTGCCTGGCCTTGTACTTGAATTATTTCCTACTAAACTTTCTCTCTAAATATATATGCTTCTGTGATTATAATCATCATCATCATCATCATCATTATCATTGAAGATTAATGAGAGAATCATTTATATAAACGACATACATCCAAACAGACACACAGACACAGAGGCAAACACAAGCAGATATGGATGATGCTAAACTCTATTAATAAAAATAAAAGGTTTTTTCTTCTTTTCTTCTTTTTCTTCTTCGGATTTTTACCTTCACTTTTATGTTTTTATTATCGAGATTTGTGTTTTACCTAGATTTTTGTAATGATAATTTGTCTCGGGTGTTTTTTAATTGTTTTTTTTTAAATTTTACAAATTTTTTTTTTATCATCGTTGTTGTTGTTGATGATGATGTATCAATGACCGATATGAGTAATTTTATAATTCATTAAAACATCATCATTATCAAGTGATGATGATGATGATGATGGTGATGATAATTAAATTGTAATTAACACCGTTTGATTAATTAATCATTTTACAAATTGATAATTTTTTCACTTTAACTAAGGTTTTGTTTTTGTCAATAAAATCAAATTATTTATTTATTTATTGGTCATTTATCAATCGATGATGCTTTTTGGGCAAATCAATCAAAATCAAAGTTTTTTTTTCATTGATTGATTTGAATAATTGAAAATCGATACTTCAATCAATTTTTACATTATAGTTTTTCATTTTTTTTGTTGTTAAAAAATCAACTCTATAAAAAAAACGACTATGAATATGGTAAACATCAAACATGTTTACCATTTGATTTGTTTGTTTGTTTGTTTATTTTTTCATTCAATCAATATAAATATACAGGTTTAAAATCTTCTTAGTACATGTTTCATTTCATTTTCTTTTTGCTTATTTTTGCTTTGATGATGATGTTTTTTCCATATAGAAAAAATGAAATGAAATTTACCCAGTCAGTCATTCAAGTCAAGTCAATCACATTCATTCAACTACAAAATGGACGACATGAAATGTCATCAATGATTTTTTTTTGCTTGCTTACTTTTTCTCTGATGATAATGTTGATGGTGATGAAGGAATGAAAAACCCCATGTATGCATCATTCATGTATGATCGTTTTTTTTTCATTTTCATTTTCATTTCCATCAAAATGATGACAATCCGCATCCATTCATTGATTTCTGTGTGACTTATCAACAACAACAACAACAGCAGTTGCAATGTTTTTTTTTCCTTTCTTCATTCAAGGTTGACCATTCTTTTGATTTTTGATTTTTTTGATTTTCTTTTTTTTTCGCTAAACAAATCGGTGAAAAGATGGATTGACACAATGGACATTCATTCTTTTCTTTTCATTTTGCTATTTTTTTCCCCAGTATGTACGTAGGATTTTTTCGTTTTCCTATTGTCTTCAACATCAACATCGACAACATTCAACAGGATTTGTTGTTGTTGTTGTTGTTTTTTCCTTTTAGTGTATGGTATTTTTTTCTTTCTTTTTGCAAAGAAAAAACATTTTATCAATGCAATCCACCAATTGAATTTGAATGTGTTGCTCATCTTTTTTTTTTTTTTTGACCAGAATTGAAAATTGAAAAAATTTTCACAATTATGATGATGATGCCCGCCCATAATATTTTTTTGTTTCAAATTAAAAAAAAAAACAAATTTCCAATTTAGATTTTGATTTGGGTTTGGTGATTTGTTTTTCTTAGGTTTTGTTGGCTGGTCAGTTTCTGTTGTTTCTTCGCATATTTTCCAATCCCGTATAAATTTTCTCCAATTTTGACCAGGAAAATTTTTAAAACAAAACAAAAATTATTATGATTTTTTGGACCATTGAAAATATTTTCTTTCATTAATGACTTTTGTCTATTTGATTAATTTTTTTTTCACTATTCAGGCTAGGTCCTAAGGTCAAGGTGTGTGTGTGTGTGTGTGTGTGTGGATCTACCTGTATGCCGGTTGTTGTTGTTTTTGTTTTTTTCAAACAATAATTATTATTATAATGTCCTTGGAGAGTAAGAAAAAAGAGAGTCACAGGTTGTATAAGGCTAGGCTAATCTACCCGGGTACTGTACTGTGTCATGTGGTTGATCATTTTTTTCAATCGGTAACTTTTTACCTTGATAATTTTTGAAATAAAGATTCAAAAGATCAATATATTGGTTTTTGGGTAATTACCACGAGTGTCTCAAACACCAATAATGTTGTCTTTTTTTTCTTCTTCTGATGATTTCTATGAATGGATTCATTCAAACAATGAATTCCATTGGGACCAATAAAAATTTTTCTTTCATTTTACCCAATTTGAATATTCGAGTTAAGTTGCTTTGTGAGTAATAACCAGAGAATAAAATTCAATTTACCAAACGTAAACCTTTATTTATTTTTCTTCTGGACAACTTAATCTAATTTGACAAATCAATTCATTATTGATTGATTGATTGATTGATTGATTGATTGATTGATTTGATTTATTTCTTTGACTTTTGCAAATGTTTACGATGATGATCACTATTTTTGAAAATAATCAGGAAAATTGAACCTTTTTTTTCGTTTACAAATCCAACTAATTATCCATGATTAATTAAATGATGTTTATCATCACTATCATTACCGATGTAATACCGTAACCCAAAAACATTAAAATTTATCAAATCAAGAAAAACTTTCGTGGTTTTTTGTTTGGATAAAGTAAATATACAGGAATCTCTCTTGTTATCATCATCACACACACTTAAGTGAACATATCCTGTAAATAAATCATCATTATTCTTCTTCTTTCTTTGGGGGAGAAAAATGCGCGTGTATATGCACACACACACACTTATAAAACATTCATCATTCTAACAGCTAAAATCAACCAAACAGACAAACCAACCAAGTAAAGATAAAAAAAAATACGGCGCAAAATCCATCATCATCATTCAATGATTTTTTTCTTCTTCTGAGCCAGGAAAAACACTGAACAAAATGGAATGAATGAAATGAATCCAAACATGGCTGCCGTTGATGATGATAACCATGTTGATGGTGATGACGATGGCAATGATGATAGCAGCAACATTCAAAGATAGATCAACATTTCTAAACATTGTGGAAATAGACAAAAGTTTGTTTGTTTGTTTGGATCTATCTATCTATCTGAAAATCATGTTTTTGCTTTTCGTTGTCGCTTTGGCTGTTGCTTCCATGTTGATGAGAAAAATTATTTTTCATCATTTTTTTCAATTGAACGAAAAAGATGCAAAAATTGGATAGGATGATGATGAAAATATGCCAAATGTTTGGCAGCATGGTTGTTGTTTTTTTTAAAAAAACTTTTCGGTTGTTGTCGTTTGGTTATAACAATGGTAAAACCGAAAACAAAACAAAACAAAAAAAATTTCAATATTCGCTGTGTAACCGAAAACAAAACAGAAAATAAAAATATGAATGAAACGACGCAAGCGCAGAAAAAATTTTTTTATTCAAAAAAAATAGGCGGGACTTGAAAACAAAAATGGGTGTTACATTAGTTTTGCATACATCATGCATCATTGTTATATATTTGTTTGGAAATTCAGTTGTTTCAATTCAATTTTTTTGGTTTGTTTCATTTCATTCTCTTCTTTTTTCTCCATTCATTCATTGCATTTTTTTACACATTTATCCAAATGTATGTGTGTGTGTGTGACAACAACGAATCTTTGAAAAACAATTCATCACTGTCACACACACACACACATAAAGCGACAAAGACGAATAGACATGCCAAACATATATACGATAACATCAATGTAAACCGCTTCCACAAGTTATATATTGATGAAGAATTACCAGAAGCAATTTTTTTGATAAATATCTTTTTTTTTTGTTGTGAAAGTCACGTGTATATTGGAACAAAACACACACACACACATATATATAGAATGGATATCTAAAGTATATTTCATGAAAAAGTAGGTGGAGCTTAATCCTTAACATTTTCTAGCTAGCTAGTTTTTTTGGTATGAAAAACTGAATGATAAAATGAAAAAAGAGTAAGTTAGAGAGAGAGAGAGAGAATGATAGAGTGAGAGAATGAAAGACAATCGAAAATACATCATTGATATCGAATGAAAATCGACGACAACAACAACAATAATAATAATAACAAACGAACGAACGAATGAAGACGATGATGATCATGATGATATTGATATTGATATGATGATCATCATGATGATCCAGAAAAAAAATAAGCTATATGATTGTGTTTGATTTTTGTTTGATTGATTGAATCATTGATTCTAATGATAGATGTGTTTTTGTTTGTTTGATTTTTGTATTGAATATAATCATCATCCAAAAAATTCGTCAAAAGTTTTCATTCTGATTAATTAATAAAATTCCTGAAAAATTCGGTGAAAAAAAATTGGAATTTAATGATGATAAATGTGTGTAATGTGAGAAAATATTCATGTGAATAATATTCATGTGAACAGAATAATTGTCAGTTTGTTTGTTTGTTTATCATATAACTCATAACTATCATTATCAATTTTGAAAATGATCATCATCAACTGTGTGACTTGAAATAATTATTGTCAAAACCAAAACATAAATTGTTTGAACCAAAGTTTTTACAAATTATCATTTTTTTCTGTGTGTAAAACCATTCCGAATTGATTAACCAATAATCCATATCATCAAGAATCCTCAAAAAAAAATTTTGTTTTGTTTTTCGTTTTTTTTTTGAATTGAATTGAATTTAATTTTGAAATAATTGTTGTTTGATAAAATTGATAATGGTCATGAGTTCTTCATTTATGATGAATTCTACGCCGGCGGCCTATCCAACGGCCGCCATCGTTGATCATAAATCATTTGTACCATCAATGAGTTTAATGGATCCATTATCATTAGATTATGGTACAGGATTATCTGGTATGTCCAGTACAAGTGTTAGTGGTGTTGGTAATAATGGAAATAGTGGAATTGGATTAATTGGTACCGGTGTAAATGGTATTAGTACAACACAGAATGGTCAAAATAGCCATCTAAATCATTTAAATACAAATCATCCACATCATTCACATCATAATCAACATCATACACATCCACATCAAAATCCACATCATAGTTCATATTCATTATCTGATTATTATGGTAGCCATCATCATACGACACATCAATCATCAACGGCTACATCGAATGCAATTCAATCAGCAATTGGTGTTGCAGCAGCTGCTGCTGCTGCTGCTCAATCACAAATGTCACCAATGGGTCTTGTTGGTCAACATCAACATCTTGGTGGTGGTGGTAGCGGAGTTGGTGGTGGCAGTACCGGTTCCGGTAATGGATTATCATCATCATCATCTTCACCACATACACATCCAATGAATCATCAAATGAATACACATCATTATGGTTATCATTTAAATTATTCAACAATTGATCAAAACCCGGTACACGTTACACATCCAAATGTATCTCATCATACTGGTCATCCAAATTTACATCATCCATCACATCATCATTTAACACATCATCCATCACATCAACAAAATCATCATCTAACAACTCATCATCATCCTCATCATCATCATCCATATGGTGCACATTCAATGGCATCAACATTAGGTCAATCAATGGCCAATTCTATATCAACATTAGGTGTTAATAATAATAGTAATAATAGTATTTCAGCATTAGGTAATGGACATCAATATTTTTCACAATGTTCAATGAATGTTGGTGGTAATAATAACAGTAGTGTTGGTGGTGATGTTTCACCACTTGGACCATTATCAATGTCATCAGGTCAACATCCATTATCATTACAGAATTCAACAACAACAACAACAACAGCAACATCATCATCATTAACAAATAATCCATCAACAACACCGAATAATCAAATATCACCAACAAGTCATCAACATAATCAACAACAACATTCACCATTGGGTGGTACAAATAGCAATCTTAATTCTTCTGGTGGTCCAGGTAGTTGTGGTGGGGGTGGTGGACATTTATCATCACGTGTATCAAGTCCATCATTAATGGGACAACGTTCACCACAATCACCTGGTAGTCGTTGTAATCAATCAATGGGAATTCTGATTGATCCACCATCACCAATGATTGATGATTGTGCATTATCTACGGCTTCGGGTTCTGATTCTGGTACTGGTGGTGGTGGTGGTAGTAGCAGCGGTGGTGGGGGTGGTCATCCAGTAATATATCCTTGGATGAAAAAAGTTCATATTGCACCCGGTAAAGGAGGTAAGATTTTGATTTGATTTGAATATTTGCATTGATTGATTGATTGATTTGCATTTCGATATTAACTTTCTTTCTCTCTCTTTTTTTCTATTTCATTTTTCAATATTTAGGTATACAAAATAATGGCAATAATTTCAGTGGTGCTGAAGCAAAACGACAACGAACAGCATATACACGTCATCAGATATTAGAATTGGAAAAAGAATTTCATTTTAATCGTTATTTAACTCGGAGAAGACGCATAGAGATTGCACATTCACTTTGCTTGAGTGAACGACAGATAAAAATTTGGTTTCAAAATCGCCGAATGAAATGGAAAAAAGATAATAAATTACCAAATACAAAAAATGTTAAGAAAAAAAATCCACAAAATCAACAGAATCAACAGAATAATAATCAACCGAACAATAATAATAATAATAATAATAATTCCATTGGTGGCAATACAAATTCTGATTCTTCAGTAACGCCAACAACAACACCAACAGCATCAGCAACGATATTAAATCATCCAAATCAATCATCAACACCGAATCATATGAATCATCAACAACAACAACAACAAATTGATCATCAACAACAACAAATTCATCTAAGTCATCCACAACAACATCATCTTCATCATCATCCATCAATGGGTATTCAACAACCACCTCCTCAATCAATAACCCCACAACCACAACCACAAGGTGGACCATTATTGAATGATATTAAAACAGAATCATCGAATAATGGTCCACCTGGTTTATATGGTATAACCGAATTATGAAATCATCTTTGATTTTCTGATGTTTTTTTCTGTTCTGTCAACTAATCCTCATCATCAACAACTATCTCTTTCAATATTTACCTGCTTTGTCAAAAGCAGTGAATTTCAGAATCTCATTCTCATCATCATCATTATTCATTGATTGATTCCTAAATCTCATCATTCATCTCTCTCACACTTTCTATTCAGTGCAACAAACTCATCATCATTATTATCATTATTTTGATCCACTAAATCACTCACTTTTTAGTCTCTTTTTTTTCCTTCAATTCTGGTTTTTTTCGTTTTGTTTTTTTCTTTATTCTCGAAAAGTTTCAATGATGATTTGATGATGATCTGAATGTTTTTCATTGTGTTTGTGTGTTTCTGTGTGTTTGTTTTTGGTTCAAATGACAAGATTTTTACCAAAAAATCCAATTGAATATTGCAATCTTGAATCTCTCTTTCTTGCTCTCATCATTCAATAATGTTGTGATACGGCCATACCATCATCGACAATATCAACCAAGAATCAAATTCAAAATTTTTCCAATCTCAACATTTTTTTTTGTTTCATGTTCCTGATTATAATCCAATAATAATATCAATAAATTAATCAATTCAATCAGCTAATCTCAAACCTCAAGTTTTGTTATTTTATCAATGTCTGTTTTTGGCAATAAAACTTTGAAACTGTAACAACAACAACAACATTGGAAATGGAATGAAGGATTTACACAAATGTCACAGAAACAAACAAACATTTGAAACGAAAAATGTTGTTTGTTTTTTTTTTTGTTGGCAATAAAGCAATTTATAAGAAAAAAATTATCGATTAGAATGGAATTCATCAAACATCATCCCAAAACAACATCAATGTTTTTCCCCCACACATTTCGCGACTTATATTCACTCGAAAATTTCTGCTCATCCAAATTTATATGTAACTAAAAACACAGCAAAAATATTTTTCGGTCTGAATTTCTTTCCCTCTGGATATCGTTATTATTTATCGTGTTTGCAAAAAACCAAACCAAAATCAATTAACATTCCAAAAAAAAACCGAAAAACCAAAATATCACATCACATCTGATCATATTACATCAATGTTTCAGTATATTTTGATATAAACAAAAACGATACATTTTTGGTGATCATCGTCGTTGTTACCTCAATATAAACAAAAAATATTATTACTTCGAACAAAACCCAAACACACGGAAAAAAATATGTTTATTTTTTAGTTTTGAAATTCTTGATTGATTTTCTGAAAAAAAATTTCCCAATTCCCAATGATAATGATGGTAGAAAATGTTTTACAAGTCAAAAGTCAACAGAGTTTGGTTTTTCGGTTCCTCTTTTGGTCCCAGTGTGTTAAAAATTCACAAAAATTCATTTCGCTCAGTAAAAATAAATCTCAAAAAAACACATCAGTCATCATCATCACTATCATCATTTTTTTTCCTTGTAAAATAAAATAATTATAATTCTTATCTAATTTGTAATAGAGAATCTCAAAATACAAGCAAACACACACATTTATAATAATAATCAAATCAAATTATAATCGGCCCGCAATCATCATCATTATCATTATTAATTGAAAATGTTTGAAAAATTTTCTCTTTAAATTATGATCCACACACACACACACAGACATTACATTCTTGATTCTTGATTCTTGATTCTTGATTCAGAATTTAATTTAATTTAATTGAAAATTACAAAAGCAAAAAAAACATTTTAATTATCATTGTAATTCTCTCTACTTGTACTTCTTATCTTTCTGATCATCATCATCATCATTACCGCATTAACACATTCACATCCGAATTATCACTATTATTGGATTATTAATAATAATAAAAAAACCATAATTATTATTTACAGATATTATTTATAAATTATATATAACATCAACAACAACAACAAATATTTATAAATAGAATAAGAGTTTTTCTTCTTCATTTTTTTCATTTGATTTTTGATTTTTTGATTTCCAATATTAAATATATCTATATGAATCGATAAGTAAAGAATCATATTTGATGATGGTGGATCATTTTATTTTGGTTTATGCAAATTTGAAAACAAATTTAAAAGATTTGTTGGTCATCTTCAGCAATGACATAACTTAACCTGACTTAACCTAACTTAACTTGATGTGTTTTAAATTCTAGCTTTTTTTGAATTTTGTTTTTTGTTTTTCTATAAATACCATTAACGTTGTGATTCTTTGTTTGTTGATGTAATTTCTATGATAAAAGATGTTTCTTCTTGAATTCTAGATTTTTGTCTTGATGATAGCTGAATTGAGACGAAACAAAATGACATTTCTCACACAAAAAAAAATCATTCACAAATATTCCATCATTATCATCATCATTTTCACTATAAATATAGATCTTTTTTTGTTATTGCCAACCTTCTTTAGGTGTTTTGTTTTTTTTTTTCGTTTTCGGTTGGCACAAATACTGTGTTCATTTTTTCGTTTATAGTAAACTTGGATGACAAACTTTGATTTTTCCATACGATCGTCGAGAGAGAGCCAGAGAGAGAACCGATCAATCACAATCCATCATAATCACAATCAATTTTCTGGTTTTTTTTCCATTCATATCTTAACTTTGTCAATTTTTAAATAAAATTGTCCAAAACTGAAATATGACAGGAATATATAGTTTGTTTTTCTATCTCAATCTGCACGTTTTTTTCTTTGGTTTTTGGTGGTGAGAAATAGATTTTTTCACTTTTCCACAAAAAAATTTTGACTTTTGACTTTTTGAATTTTATTGAATTATTATTCGCACAGAAAAAAAAATCTTTCAATTTAGCAGAAAAAAGCTTCAAGATTTTCTTTATCTTCATAGTGATTCAGAAGAAAAAAACGAGCGAGAAAAAAATGTCTTAATAATCACACAATAATCGAAATTGTGGCCGAAAAATGTTTCGCTATTTTTTCCACCTTTTTTTAGAATCCCAAAAAAAATATTCAAATTGAATCAACAACAACAACAACAACAAAATAACATTATCATTTTATGCAAATGAATGAGGGAAATAAAATTTAAATTTTTCATCATTTACAACGGTCATAATGTTAATGATGATGATGATAATGGTCATCATTATCTTTTAAATCACCAAAAAAAAAAACAAAAATCAATGATTAGGTGTAGGCATTATGATGATGATTACCATGCTGAAAAAACAACAAATTCATTCATTCATTTATCGATGTGAAAATCAATACATTTGATTATTGATTTGATTTGAAATGAAATTCTTCTTTTTTTAAATGTTACAATTAACGATGATCAAACAACCTGAGAGAAGAAGATGAAGGATGAACAATTAAAAAAACAAAACTAACCAAACAACAACAACAACAACCCATACCTGCATACCTGTATGTTTGTGTGATATTCGGTTCACCGACCGAATCGATAACCCGATTCAGTTTGTTTGTTTCGTTATCGAAATGTTCAAAATGAAGGAATCGATATGATGTTTATTCGGATTGAAAATTTATTTTTAAATTCAAAAAAAAGACAAGATTATGTTTGAGACTTGAGAAATTTCATTCAAATCCGTTCATAGTCTGAAAAAAGAAGAAGAAAAAAACATTATCAGTTTTAGCCAGCAGCCAAAATAAATTACCTAAACACATAGACATAGAACAGATATCCAAGCTGGATACATGAATGTTGTATATACATAATAATTAATCATAATCATCAAATATCAAACATCAAACATCAAACATCAAACAACAACAACAAACCAGATCAGATCTTTTTCGTTTTTCGTTTTTCGTATTTTGATTTGTTATTCATTCAATAAAATGTTAAATAATATTGACTGACTGATAAACATTATTTCGTTTCTTTTTTTTCGGTTATTTCCATCGATCGATCGATCGATGTTGTTGATCATAATGAAGGCCAAAGGGTATGTTGTTGTTGTTGTTGTTCATTATCATCATCATAACCATCTATAGATGTTTTTTCTCGTTCACATTGAAAATGAAAATCAGTTTTTTGTTTTTTGTTTTGGAAAATTAATTTTTTTTCAGAATTCTCATCGATGTTGGTGGTAGTGTATCATCATCATCGTCGTCGATGTTTATGTTTTTTCTTTCTTTTCTATTCGTTTTCGGTTATCGAGGAAAAAATCATTTTTCCATACCGAAAACTTAGAAAAACTTAACACTAAACTACTCTGACTACTCGAATATCATTACGGGAAAAAAATTTGTTTTCAATTTTGGTTCTTTTCTCGAAAGAAAGAAAGAATGGCGAAAAAACCTTATTGAATTACGCAATCTTTTTTATGAAAAAAATTCTACACATCCGTCATTTTATTTCATTTTTCTTATGCTTTGATGGTTTCATTTCATTTTCAATTTCAATTTTTTTCATCAAACAAAATCATTTTTTTCATCACATCATATCATTATCATATCAAAATGATATGATATGATGATGATAATGCGATTATCGTTTAAGTTTAGCTTAGTTTTTTTCGTTTATCGTTTCCATTTATGATTTTGTCACCACCACCACCACCATTGTTAACTTATTTTAAGTTTCAATGGAAAGTCAAAAACGAAAAAACGAATCGGTCGCTAATGGGATATGATGCACACACACACACACCAAACATACAAAACACATGCACGGCAAATACGTTTTTTGCTTTGCTCTTTGGTTGTTCCAACAATTTTTTGCTTTCATTTCATTCTGGTTGATTGTCAATTTATTCTTCCCCATTATCATCATCATCATTCGATATAGGGAAAAATGACGATGATGATGATATGATGATTATGGGTGAATGCAAAATTGTGCAAAAAATACAGAATTTTTCACAGAATATGAAAAATTTTCATCATGCCTTTGGCCTGTAATACCATGTTTTTGGGATTCCATATCATCCATATACTGTGCAAAAACACACACGCAAATTTGGTGCAATCCATTTCCAAGTTCAAACATAGAGAGAGAGAGAGAGAGAGAGAGAGAGAGAGAGAGAGAGAGCGAATGAAAAGCGGATTCTAGATAAAAAGAATCCTTACAAACATTTCAAATGTTAGTTCAAATGTGTATAGTCCTAGCTTGCTTGAAAATCAAATCAAATAGTCAAATCTAAATGTGTGTGTGTNATACTGTGCAAAAACACACACGCAAATTTGGTGCAATCCATTTCCAAGTGCAAACATAGAGAGAGAGAGAGAGAGAGAGAGAGAGAGAGAGAGAGAGAGAGAGCGAA